TCTTCTTCTTCTTCTTCTTCTTCTTCTTCTTCTTCTTCTTCTTCTTCTTCTGTGAAGCATGTACGATGGGTGAGTTCATACTTGCCCCCTGTGCTCCTATTGGGATTAAGCCACGGGGCATATCTTGGCTGCTCCTGCTGGGAGATTCAAATCAGGAGCCTTGGTGGATCCTACTAGTTTCTTCCATCAGTGGCCATTCCACTGGTCATTCCACCTGGAAGCTGTCAGTGATGTTCTGTCTTCTTGGTGCTTGGGGGGCAACAGTGGGAGGGCTTTTGGCCACTGTGTGACACAAAATGTTGGACTGGATGGGTCTTTGGCCTGATCCAACATGGCTTCTCTTATGTTCTTATGTCTGGCGCAGTGATGCTCTGTCTTCTTGGCGCTTGGGAGGCAACAGTGGGAGGGCTTCTGGAGTTCTGGCCCTGCTGGTGGACCTCCTGGTGGCACCTGGGTTTTTGGCCACTGTGTGACACAGAGTGTTGGACTGGGTGGGTCTTTGGCCTGATCCATCATGGCTTCTCTGATGTTCTTATGTCTGGCGCAGTGATGCTTTGTCTTTTTGGTGCTTGGGAGGCAACAGTGGGACAGCTTCCAGAGTTGTGGCCCCACTGGTGGACCTCCTGGGGGCACCTGGGCTTTTGGCCACTGTGTGACACAAAGTGTTGGACTGGGTGGGTCTTCGGCCTGATCCAACATGGCTTCTCTGATGTTCTTATGTCTGGTGCAGTGATGCTCTGTCTTCTTGGTGCTTGGGAGGCAACAGTGGGACAGCTTCCAGAGTTGTGGCCCCACTGGTGGACCTCCTGGGGGCACCTGGGCTTTTGGCCACTGTGTGACACAAAGTGTTGGACTGCATGGGTCTTTGGCCTGATCCAACATGGCTTCTCTTATGTTCTTATGTCTGGCGCAGTGATGCTCTGCCTTCTTGGTGTTGGGGGGGGCAAGATTGGGAGGGCTTCTGGAGTTCTGGCCCTGGTGGTGGACCTCCTGGTGGCACCTGGGTTTTGGCCACTGTGTGACACAGAGTGTTGGACTGGACGGGCCTTTGGCTTTGATGTTCTTACTGTGTCTTTGGTAAAAAGGTAAAGGTTTCCCTTGCTCGGAACCTAGTTGAATCCGACTCTAGGGGGCGGTGCTCATCTCTGTTTCCAAGCCAAAAAGCCAGCAGTGTCTGAAGACGTTTCTGTGGCCATGTGGCCAGCATGACTAACCGCCGAGGTGCACAGAACGCTGTTACCTTCCCAATGAAGTGGTACCTGTTTATCTCCTTTCAATTTCCTGCTTTCGAACTGCTAGGCTGGCAGGAGGCGGGGCCAGAGACGGGAGCTCACTCCGTCATGCGGCACTCGGGTCTCAAACTGCCGAACGACCAACCTTCCGGTCTGCAGTTCAGCGTCTTAACCTCTGAGCCATCTGTACCTAAAACACGATCCCACTTCTTCTAACCGAACTCATGAGTTGCTCAGAGACAGGATCCAGGTCTCGTGGGCTCCTGGTCTTTCTCTCCCAGGGCTCTTTTTGTAGGAAAAGCCCAGCAGGAACTCATTAGCATAATAGGCCACACCCAACAGCAGGAACTCATTAGCATATTGGGCCACACCCCTGACAGCACAGCTCATTAGCACATTAGGCCGCACCCCCATGTTACCAGAAGTGTGGTCATCCAGCCACACCCACCTTTTGCTTCTTATTCTCTTTACCTTGTTTGTTGTCAAGACCCAGGGCCTTTTTTTGTAGCAGGAACTCCTTTGCATGTTAGGCCACACACCCCTAATGTAGCCAATCCTAATGAGCTGGTGTTGGGGTGTGCCCTGTTATGCTAATGAGCTCCTGCTGGGCGTGGCCAACTTGGGAGCCAGCCGGAACTCCGTTCCTGTGCGTTCCTGCCCCAAAATAGCCCTGTTCTCTCCCATCACGTTCCTGGCTGCACCTGGGCAGGCGCACAGTGTGCCCGTCCCCTGACATGCCCGGAGCAGGGCAAGGGAGTGACAACCCTAGTCTTGGCCCAGCGTCAACTGCGCTTCTCCACCTTGGCAGGAAACCCTTCCTTCACCAGGGCAGGCCGGAAGGTCTGCTTATCTCAATGGCTTCGCTTCTGGCTCTGTTCTCTCGGGTTCCTACCATACATATTTCTTCAAAGAGTTGCACTCTGCCAGTTACACAAGAGGAGCCCATTGTTTGCTTAGG